AATCAAAAAGGCAACAAAAAAGTGTCTTGTGATTTCGATTATTTTTTTTGGTAGAAAACGTCGTCCGTGTTTTTATAAAAATAATGAAATCTTGAAATTGAACGGTTTTTCCCACTGTAGTGCTTTTATTTAAAAAATGACTTTAAAATACAATCTAGAAGACTTGAGCTTTCAGAAAAGTTATACACGTAAAAATAGGAGAAAGTTTACCAGGAAAAACCGTGTCCACAGCCAATAACAAAGAAAGAAGATTCAAACAGCATTGTAAAACCAATAGCTTCCTTGCTACGCTCGGAATCTAAAATATTTAACTATTTACTCATTTATTTATTTATTTTCAAAATGTAATATACAGAAACAGAAAGAAATACAATGGTCTGAAATATCTAATTTATTTTATAATACAACACGGGCTTATTTTGACCATAATTAATGAGCGATATTTTTTTCTGTCGCAAATCTTGAATTGTCTTCTTCAATTCTTGACCAGTTAGTTTTGTCTAGACACCAACTGTAGTAAACATATTTTTTTTTTGCCATCTGTAACATGTACATTAAATTTGGACTAATTTGAACAGACAATATGTCCTATGCAAACATTTATCAGTATAATATATATCATGAAAAGACATTATTTTAGTAAATATGCTAATAATCATTATAAATAATATTACTTATAAATTTAAAAAATATGTTCTATTTAGTATTAAAATTATACAAAACATATAATTTTTTTTTAATTTGGAATATCCTATTTAAATATTATTATTTTGATTTTACTACTTGGAGGTATAAATCATCCCCAAAATCATTATATAATAATAATTGTATTCTAATTTATTAAATTATCATTAAATGATATTTATGAAAAAACAAAATAATAAATGTTTAAAGAGATTTTATAATATTAATGTTATTCGTTTTATATTATTTATATTATTTACCAATTATTATTATGTATGCATTATTTTTTGTTATCAGATAATAAATAATTATTATATGATAAATAATTAGCATAATAAGTAAATTAAAAACAATTCTCACTTCAATTTCAACTGATCGTTGCAGAATTCGCGGTTCTTTTACCTTAGGCATTAGATGATCTGGGAAGGTGAAAATAGTTGGCGCAGCAAATTTTTTAAAAACTTAATTTCTCACTTACAACTGCTTTGTTATATTCATTTTTAGTAAAATGTAGATTGCATAAAAATGAATTACTACTAAGTTTGAAATTTGTTAGTCTAACAGCATGTATCCATTTTTTTAGCCTTTCATTATCATTGATTGAAAACCTTAGAATATAAAAATACAAAGTAAAATTATTTATATAGGTACCTATAACGTAAATAAATTATACGTTAATTACAATTACGAAATAATCAATCACAATTAACATTAATAGGTGAAACATTAACTTGTGAAATATTAATTCCTTTTTTACATTACTTACACTAGTGCAATAAAAGATACTACAAAAATTAACCATTGTTTAATTGTACTGTAAGAATTAAACAATGAAAAAATTACTATACATTTTAAAACAAACAATTTAGAGTTCAGACTAGTCACAGACTAGACTCAGTTAGTAAGATAGCTAGGAATACATTTTTAAAAAAATTGATTTTCCAATTCATTAATTGATGATAGGAAATGTATGTATTCTCCGATACACCTCTATTTAAAAATGTAGGAAACAAATTATATAACGACAAAGTATTAAAAGTAAGTTCATTACATGTTGAGGAGTTGTATTTGGTTTTTTTTTTTCTCGCTGTTGTTTAATGTGTGAATATTTTAATTACCTATTTATGTGATAACGAATAGTAATAATTTTTTAGCACTTTGCATGATTTCAATATAAAATGGTGAAATATATAGTAAATATCTTTAAGATTTAAGTAAGGAATATTATAAATATCATAAAAACAATTAATAATTAAATTTATGCTTAATTTCCTGTTCTAGCCATGTAATAAAATTAAAAAACTATAACCTAACCTAACCCTATAAATATACACATATATTTGTTCTGTGTGAGTTTGTGTTTTGGTACCTATATGTTTTTTTTTTTAATGGGAGTAAGAGTTTAAGAGTTTATATATATTTTATTTTATTAACTATACAACAAAAAAGTAAGTATGACATAGTAACCAATAAAATAATAAAAACTATATGCTTATTTTGATAATGCAGATTAATGATTAGTCTGTTAAATGGCACCATATTTTTGGTTTATATGAACAAGACAATTAATTGCTAGGAAATCTAAGAGTATGGCCGAAACTATCAAAAAGCGATATTAATATTATTGTTTTTGATAAAATGAAAGTTCAATTAGCAACCTAAGTAATTAAAAGCATTATTTGTTATTTATACCTATACATGTATTATAAAGTTCTTAAGTAATTCTGTAGCTGATGGTTTATTATTTTACAAAAGTGATAATATTAAAAACTTAAATGATTGTGAACTAGGGATGTGTTTTATAGAAAATGCAATAACTGTTTTGATACTCTGAATTGAAAATTTGGTCTAGAAGTGCTTATAATTATGGGCAAAGACTATCAGGCATAAACAAAAATTTAATATTTATTATATTTGCTCAATAAGTTATTATTTAATAATTAATTAATCATTATACACTGTTTTCATTTGTTTATCTATTGGATGTAATACAGTTCCTTTAATCTTTTTTGACATGGTTAAATCAAACAGGAAAAGGAATATGTTGATGGAAAAATAAAAATTTAAATTTTTTACCAGTCGTACAGCTTGTGGTTTAATAACTACAATACAATAAACACTTGATATCGCAAATTATTTAATTATTTCTTAAAATTTTAATTATTTATAATAGGGAAAATAAATCAAGGTAAGCTTAAAATAAGTAAACAAAGAAAACAATTTCACAATACACATTATATTGGTATTTATTAAAACATAATTAAATGTTTTTTGGAACAAATTTTCAAGCTACAGGGTCTAACAATTATACCTCCATATATACTTTTTTAAAGTTGTGTAAATTATCATCAATGTATAGTATTTTAAAGCCACCGAAAAATGGAAACTGCACAGTAAATGATGACGATATGTTGACTTTAATTATTTCCATTACTGATTTAAAAGAAATCTATAATCCAAAGAAGTTAAATTTAAAAGTGAAAATGAATAAAATAATTGAAGAGAAAGATTGGGAATTTGTTGAAGTTTCTGAACAGAATTATGTAAAGGTTGAAGTAGGCAATAAATTGTCTAATACATATATTATTTAACTGGTATGTAACAAAATATTATACATTTACCATTAATTATTATATAAAATGTTATTAAATATTACAAATCAATTAATTAATTTTATAGAGTATCTATCGAAACAAATGTTAAAATATATTGGTGATTGCAATACTTGAATGCCAGCTCTACAAGAATGAATTTGTTAAGACCATTAAGTCATACATACATGACAACATATTCGACAACAATTTTACTCTCGTGCACAGTCCCTTAGACATACTATGAATTTATTCAAACGGGATGAACCCAAGAACAATTTTGATAGTTATTAAAATTGTGAACTTAAATCTATTTAAATGATTGACAGTAAAAGTATACAAGTGTAAACAAAGTAATAATATTACTTTCAAAACAATCAAAATTACAAAATAATAAAAAAATAATTTAGGTAACAAAAAAAGAAAAAATATGTAAGGAGAGAAAAAAAATAAAAATAAAATTTATAAATATTGAGTAATATAATTACAAAAACATTCAAGAGAAGGAAAATTAAATAAATCTACATGGACATCATTAGCTACTTTCATTAATCTATAAATAAATGAACCAAGAACACAATTTGTTTTCTGAAAAGGAATGTAAAACGTATTTGCAGATCTAGTTCGACAAAGAAGGACATTAAAATTTAAGCAACTGAGTAATTCAAGACAGTTTAAATACTTATTAACTATTTATGTAGAAACTTCAAATCAATGATTTTCTCCTATCAGCTAAATTAGTCATATTTAATTCAATTATTAACGGAGTATAATTTGACATTACATTTGTATGAAACTAATCGAAGAAATCGATTTTGAATAGCTTCAAGGCTCTGTATATGTACAGCACTATAAGGATACCATATGAGTGAATTGTATTCTAGAGTAGAGCGCACCAGAGAAGAATAGATAATTTTTACTGCATCGGAATTAGTAAAATCTTTACAAGTCCTATTTATGAATCCTAATGTAGTAGAAGTTTTTTTAGTAACGTTTAAATAATGCTTGTTAAATAAAAGAGTAGAATCAAAGGTAACGACCAAATCACAAATTTCAAAAACGCGCTGGAGTACAATATTATTTTTGGTATAATCATTAATAATTAGGAGCTACAATATACTTTAGTATAATAGTGACTAAATGATAACAACTTCGTTTACTTATATTTAAATTATTCTAAGTTTATATATTGTTATGATCTTAACTGATCTTGTTGCTTTTTTAAAACCAACAACTTAGTAAAATAATTGACGTTGTCCCGTAACTTGACAACAAACTTTATGCACCTATCCCTTTCCCACCTAAAAAATATGGGCACAAAAATTGTCTGTTTTACCTCCTGATCATTTTATGGGAGTAAATATTACCTCCTTCTGTAATTTTAGGGAGGCAAAAACGATTTTCTATATTATATATTGTGTTATCATATACTAACTACTCCATATAATTGTATTCAATATACAATACAACAGTACTACAGTGTTCCACCGTAAATTAAGTTTTTGGATACATGCAGCAGTGTGCCATTTTACAACACCCATTCATTCATCGTCTATAGCATAGCTATGGCAACCCTGAGTCTGGAATAAAAATCAATAAAAATACACAGAGCAAGTGTTTATGTGGTATTTGTGTTGTAGAAAAATTGTAATAACTTAAAAAGTGTATTGTGTTTATCTATTTTGTATTTAAATTACTTAAATTTTCATTATACTACAAACCAAAATGTCATCAAATACATCATTGGACATGGATGACTTAAGTAAGTTGACTTCAAAAATGATAGTCTAAATAAATGTATAAATGGTAGGTATTATTAATTTTATATTAGATAGATAGGCACATATTTTTATCATTTTTTTAGATTTACTTACCACCTAATAATAAGAATCTATTCAGTAATGACATAAAAAAAATATATAAAATTATAAGTAATTTTTCATACAGTTAGAAATCACAAGCCTGTGAGAGCATATGGATCCCCTGATCCATATATTTGAAATACTACAGGTAATTATAATATTATGTAGGTATCTAATAGCTGTAACCTGGGTATTAGGAAAAAAACTCCTCGGACAAAAAAGACCCATTGTGAAATAATACATAGCAACATAGATATACAAATTAAATACATTTACATATATTAAAAAAATAATAATAATAAATCACAAAAGAGAAAACAAAAAATATTTATTGTATATTTTATTTTAAGTGAAAGAAAAAAATAAACACATTATTGGGTATAAATTATTTTTACAATTTTTACCAAACGTTTATTTTCAATCAAACAATTATTGATTAATTGTTTTTTATTTTGAGCCCCAGAAAAAAATTGAAGAAAAATGATTAAATACATTTTTAAAATAATTATGAATCACAAAAAAAAAAATAGGTAACTCAAAAATAATTAAGTAGATATTCAGTCACATGATTTTTGTATAATTATGGTTTACTGCCATTGAAAATTCTGTATTAATACTTATTAGGTAGTCATTTAAAAACATTAAATTTCATCATTTCTAACTCAAAATATAAATAAATAATGAATTAAATTGCTTAGATCTTACAGTTTCCATAATAAAAAATAAATTTAATTTTAGTATTTACAGGAAACCTACACAAACTGGTGCTATAGTACCACATAATTTTTTAATTCAATATTATACAGGCTAATGTATTTATTTCATTAAATAAACATAATTATCAATATGAGCTCAATATTATCTATAATATAGCCTATAGAAATAATTTCAATTTAAAGACTAAAAAACAAATTCATAAATGTAATAAAGAAAATAAAATACACAACTCACCAAAAAATGTTGTCAACTATTAAAGTATGATATATCAACATAATATGTCTAATCAATTCTCTAAAATTCTGAACAATAATACAAATAATTTAAAAATCGCTTTTAAGACTAATAATAATTTAATCAAGCATGTAAACAATAGAACTAAAAACTTCACAAAAAATCCCTCTTCTTTTGAAACTACTAGTATACATAAACTTAAATATAACTGTTAAACATTTTATATAGATAAGACAAATAGAAATTTTAAAATAAGATATAAAGAATAAATTTGTGAAATAAAATTTAAAAAGGCTGCCCATAATGATATTAATACAGACATAGAAATATTAAATAACCAAAATAACATTCACATTTATTCAGTTTTAGAAGAATTACACATACACAATGAAATCAAGACAAATAATTTTAATGATATTTTAAATGTTCAAATCTATTTTAAAAATAATATCTTAAATCAATACATTTTAGATAATAAACAGTAACCAAATAATTTATAATTCTTAACATCTCTGTCTAATATGTCTAATATTAACTCATTTTAAATAATCTCTCCTATTAAAATAAATTATTTCTATGTAAAACGACAATTTTTTATAATTTTTACGCTATGTATTCCTTTATTTATTTTTTCATATTGAGTCGCATTTTAATTTTTGACTTAGTGATTTTACCTAACAATTAGTTTTTAATTCAAAACTGGTTGTAAAATACACATTTCATAATACTCTATTTATTTATATTTTTGTTATTCTGGGCACTAAAAGTGATTTATGTCTGCAATCGGGTAATAACGAAAATAAAATAGAAATATTATCTACTGTGTTCGTACATTTGTTAATAATATTTTCGCCGTGTATGTGACGAGGTAAATTAAAATACGGACGACAGGCCAGTTCAGTTTGCCCCTAAAAGGCGTAGCATGATTTCTTCAGTGGAGAGCTATAGCCCTAACACTTAACAGAATAGTTTACATAGGTACTTATACATATCTACACGTAGGTTTTGTTGCTCCTACACCTATTTAAAAACAATAGGTTATTTAGAAATAAACGCAGGAATGGTTTTGGGAATCCAAACCCCCAAAGAGAAAGCCCTTTAACTTAATGATTACACAATAAATTGTAATCAACATTATAAATTACAATATTACACACAAAAAAAAAAACAATACAATTTTACCTTTAAGTATAATATGTTTTTCACTGAATTCATATATTTTACCTTATATTTGTATTATTTTAAACCGAACTTGTTAAAATATTGCTTAACGTAAATAAACAAATAAAAAAAATATGTAGGTACTTGGTACGCGTATCATGATATGGATTATGTTCTCCTTTGCCTTCATCACAGTGATGTTGGGGTCGGCCACCCTCGTCCTGAACTTCCCACTTGATTCAATCACTCACCTCGCATACACTGGCTGCCCTTGAATGTCATCATATCATCCCCAATCACGTTAAACGACCTCTACTTCATAATCCTCTTCTTACGTTTCTTCCATTTTTTATTTTCATTACTATTATTACTGTTTCTGATTGCCAAATTTTATTGTACCCTTAAATTAAATTTTAAATTCAGTTCTTTTTCATTGGTTTTTTTGCATTCAATTTATTTTTTAAGATTATAAATAAATTATATCACGTCTATAAGTAATTATTTAATAAATAAAAAGTACATAACTACATTACAACTGTTAATAATAAATATCAATCATACAAATTAAAAATTAAATATAAGTTAACAAATGAACAGGTTTTAATTTAAACAATTGTTTTTTTTTCCGAACCTTCAGATATATCACTAAACATCACAATTGTATCTGAAAAACTTAGTTTGTTTATTATGTTCCTTTCGCAGGAAACCAGGTGTTCCGTTCGGGTCGTTTGACTACAACTTGTAACGCTGTAGTTTGTAATTTCATTTTTTAAGTGTTTAGTGTAAGGTGACCATTTTTTTTTTCATATCATCCGTTGTCCTGACAAACTTCAAACGAGACGTCTTTTGTCCCATTTTTAGAGATATCCCCTTTTTAATCCCGTTATTTCTATATTATTATTTGAGTAAACGAAAATAACCGGTAAAAAATATATAATATGACATGGCATTCAAGAAAGCTTAACATTCATTTTGAAAAATAATAAAAAATCTAATCGACCGGAATGTTGATGAAGATAATCTTTTTGACGAGTAATCATGTACGATGTTGTCAATAACGTAATAAATGACAAATTATTGACTATTTCAAAGAATGGCAGATAAATTGTGTTAAATTTCGTAAATTAAAGAAAGATGGTCTATATAATTACAAATATATATATATATAATATATACATATACATTATACATAATGTCCTACAGTCTTTTCGTTATGCTAATAATTCTGTTAATAGTTCATTTTTTTTTTCAATTAATATCAGTGTTTTATTATTTAAAATTTGATTTGATTTTAGGTATTGAGGAAAAAATTGAAAAAATTAATTTGTTGCGTGAATTGATTCATCTCAAAGAAAATACTGGGACTGGTTTCAGTTCTCAAAATACAAAACAGAAAAAAAATATTATCAGCGGAACAGTAATGTCTGTTATATTTTTTGGTTGCTTCACTTTGGTAATAGCAGTGAGTTTTTATTCTTTCCGCATGCTATACCTTGCCGTGCAGAAAAAATTCCCGTCTCCACATTCAGAATTGTAATAATGATCACAAAGTAATTTATTAAGATAACTTTTTGATTATATTTACATATCTTATACAAATTATAATAAACAGATTAGTATATGTATAACCGTATAGATACTTATTTATAATGTGTAATATGTATTTATTAACATTGCATCTAATTGTACGCAAACAAGATAAGTATAGATATTTCAATTTATAGTAGTAATAATTTGTTGATACTTAGGTATAGTTTGTATGTTTTTTTTTTCTAATTATTTGAAGTATGTTCTTATTCTCGATAAACATAGTTTTCAAAATATTCTTATTTACTATTTACTTGAAATAACTTCAGTTTGTAAACATTGACCTACCTGCAAATGGCAGCTGACGTTAGATTTAAGTATAAAATAATATACGAAGTCTGCTATATAGGCTAGGTAATATATATCTGTGTTTTTTTTTTTTATTTGAGTTTATCAATGTTTTTTATACTTAAATTAGCTGACAGATTGGTGCGTTTTCCATGTCCATCCTCATTTATCGAAGACAAATCATTGCTATTAGCATGGTCTAATACAGTGGCTCTAAACACATATTATAATTAAAAATCAATAACAAAAAAAAGTGTCTTATCAATGAATAAAAAAATATTTTTCTTGTAAAAATTAAAACTTTCTTTCAAGATAAAAATATAATCTTAGTACAATACCAATTTATATTTTATTAAAGAAAGAAATAATTTTTTAAAAAATACCCCTTTTGCTAATATATACCTAATTATTAAAAACACAAGTCATAGAGGAGGACGCGTTATTCTGGATAAAATTAGTAGAAGTATGGGAAATATAAATTTAAAAAAGTAAAGGGATGACATCCCTCCGTATCCACCCCTCACTTCGAGAACTGGTTAAACATCGTTCAGTTTCGATATGCTGTATTTTGTACGATTTTCGTCAGAATTTGAATTTTAAACGCACATAAAAAAAATACGACATTACACGTAGGTACGAGAATTAAGTGGCATATATTTTATGTATATAAATTATACAGAATTCAATTAAACTTATTTAACATTTATGTCAGTCATTTGTTGGAAAGTTGTATTAATGTATAGGAAAGTCGTTAAAAAGTTATGATGCATAACGTAAATAATTTCCCAAAATCACCGCTATAAGACCACACCAGTTGCATAGCCAGGATTTTTTTGAGGAGGTGTTTTTATTTTGTGCTTAAATGTAATACAGTAACTTTATTGTATACGTGTAACACACATAACATATACTACATAATTATCTATGCGTTACACAACATATTTTGTAGAAATCTGATGCATAACTGCGTATAGTAAAAATTATAATTTTCGGCATAAAATAATAAAAGGGGTGTATTTGAACACCAACACATATCCTCTCTTGCTACGCCACTAGATCACACTAACGACAAACTTTTGTTAATACCTCCTAAAACGTTCATGATGGTTTGAAAAAATTGTTCTTGACTTTTTAACGACTACCAATAAAAACTTTTTAACGGTGACCAACAAATGACCAACACATTTTTTACAATTATTATCTATTTTGAATTTAACTCTATTACATTTGTGCAATTAATTTCACGGACGTTTACATTACACTTGAAATTTTTATATTCTGAGCGTACCAAGGGATCTACTGGTAATACTATAATGTGGTTTTTTTTCTATCAGAAATCTTGCCCCAATCAAAAAATGCTAAGACCCATTTTTTATTGCATTTTAGATTTAATTGACGAGTAATGAAGTCGTTTTTTAGTTTTTTCAAAGGTTTCTACAATAAATGAGAAAACCCTAAAAGATACGTAAAACAAAAACGGACACAATATTTTAGTTTTAAATTGGTATGTACATATTATGTAGATGAAATTGTGTGGATAATTTAACTGAAATATTTGAAAATTTAACACAAGGTTCATTATAAATTGTAGTTGTCAAAAATAAAAAATAAAAATTGATCATAACTATATCATAATTGTTTTTTTTTTTTCATAAGCAATTTATTATCAAATTTTAATGGAAATTATAAATTTTCTGGCATTTCAAAATAAGTAAAAACGAAACTCTCTCAAATATAAATTTCATATACCTCATAGTCATTGTATTAATTTAGTAAGTCATTTTTTTTCCTATACTCTACCGCACGATAGAACAAGCCGCGTGATAACGAAAATTGTTCGGCTCCGCGCATACCCACATTTTTCGGCGATGAAATTTGAATGCGTGAAGGGGATACGATGGCCCGGTCGGTCGACGAACGATACACAGATTCGTAGGACAGAGTATAGTACTTAATATGTGAAAAAGCGAAATATTATCTCTATTTTACAAAACTATGCATGTTAATGTGTGTTATGTAAAACATATAGGATAAAACTATTATTATGAGTATGATCACACACGATAATATGTTATGCCTGCATCGTTTTTCGCGTGATCAAACGTGGATACGGTTCATTCCCATGTCGCCGACTCCCATTTTGCCGAAAACATTTTATTTTGTTAATACTTATCTGTGACGTCACAAAGAGTCGGCGATGTGGGAAGACACGGTGGATACGTGAACACTGCGCAGACCAATTGTGAGAAAGATTGGCAAAAAAACACAACTAACGAGTGTGAGGACTCGAGCAAGGCTCACGATTGCAGACTGCAGCAGCATCGGTCCTATGTTAAGGTCGAGTGTGTCGATATTTGTATCGGTAATCAATAAGACAAAAGCAAGTAAACCAGTACATTACCGGTGGTAATAGTGAAGACATTTCCTTGTAGAACCGTTCCTTATACCACAATGGCATTTTGGAACTACGGTTAAGTTACCCAGAAATAATTGTGTATTTAAGCACTTATAAATACGTATTTAAAAGGACATTATTGTTCTTTTGACAATCTTTTGAAAGCTACAAGTTATTAATTATTCTGTTTATGACCATATAGTGTACTTTTTAACTTCCTGCATTAATCATGAACTTTGTTTTTAATTTTTTTTTATTATTTAAATATTATAGTATAATAATATGTTTGTTTTGTTTTGTAATTATTTGTTATAAATTTATTATTGATATAAAATAATACTCCTAAAATACATTAAAATAAATTACGCATGGGTGCAAGTTATATTGCATTAGTTTGCGTCAGACAACTTTTTTTATAATATAATAAATGTATACACTTCACAAATATTTAATCATTTATTTTGTTGTTTACTCTTTTTCTTCAAATTATGCATTGATATAACATATTATATTATCTTATGTCTAGAAGTTATTTCACTCTAAAAAAATAATATCAAAATAAATATTATTTATGTTAACAGTGTGCAAATTTAACTTATATTATGCAATGCAATATTACCCGTAATTCTTACTAGATGGCCCTGCTAACAAAAATGTACAACTAATTTACTGATTATTTATTTAACTGTGAAAATATTTAATACCATGTGTGCATGTCCAATACATAAATACTTGTTGTACCATTGCTACATAGCTACATAAGTAATAAAAATCGTACATTATAACATTCCGTGATTACTGAAAAAAAAAACCGACTCAACTGCCTTGAATTAATTTAATAACTTAATTTAACGTTTATTCAATGTTTTATGTTTACCTACATTTAAATTTTACAAAATAATGATTTCAATAAAAATCAGTAGTATCGGTTCATTTTTTTCATCCAAATAAATTTTTTTCAAATTTGTTTATGCCAATTCAAATTTTATTTTATTTTTTTAGTGTAATATATTATTACTATGGGAAAAAGTTTTTTTTAAATTAATTAACTAACCATTAGATTTATACAAATAATGTAGTATAATTTATGAGTTATAATATTTGATTTTAATCAATTTATTACCTACTAAGATATTTAAAGCTAAATTACTAAATAAAATACATTTTCTAATGATATTTAAAATACTTTTAGGTAGTAAAATTAATATATGATATTAAGCAATAAAAATGTTTATTTCTACTGTGTTTGGTTTTAGTGTTTTAAACGAAAGAGCGTTTAAAAAATTTGGACAGTTTATAATAAATGATTATATGATATTAGGTTTGTACAAGTGAAAATTAAAGTCGATAATGATTACATTTTTGAAAAAAAAAGTGATCATTTTAAATTAACACAATTTGAAAATATAATTAACGATCTCGTTAACTGTTAGTGTTATCTAAAAGGTTATGAAAAATAATTGTATTATAGAATATGATGGACTCTTAAACTTTGCTTCTCTAACTCATTGTTTTATCAAATGATATTTTATCAAATATAATCATATGAAGTGTACATAGGTAATTATTTTTCTGTTATATACAATATTATGTTAAATTGGATTTTATTAAATTAATGTAATCATTACGTTTTATAAATATGCAATGAAATTATTTAATTATTTAATTCATCTATCACAATTGTTATTTGCAAGAATATTTGATTATTATTATTGAATACTTATTCTAATTTGTCGGGAATTAGCAGGTAATATTATAGAGAATAGTAAAAATAATTTTCCATAAAAAGTTAATCAAACAAACATGTAGTTGTGTACCGTAGAGGTTTATTAAAATTTGTAGATAAATTTAATTGATAATATTTCCGTTGTTATTACTGCTAAATGTTGGTATATATATATATAATTATATACTATAATTAATAGTATAAGTATAAAATATATAACGCCTCCGAAAAACATTAAAATTTTACTTTCTCGTTAGTCGTCATTCGAAACAACAAAATGTTTGTAAGAGATAATCAGGTTTTACATTTGTAATATTTGTTTTCAAAGTGTTTTTTTTATATTTATCATATAGGTAGGTATTTATCGTTATTATTAATCAGTATAATTATTTCGTTCTTTAAAAACAATTTAAGATACATCGTTTTAACGTTAAAATGTTTACCCGAGCATTACGGTTAATGAGAGATTGTTGGTTTAACACTAGAAAGCAATACAATTTACAATAAATGAAATGTCGTATAGTAAATATTTAATAACGATGATAATAATAGTCATAGTTCCTATGAATAGGTGCATACAAAACTGAATTTCACCACGGTCTTATTTTTATTTTTTATCTCACTGACTCGAATAAAATAAAAAAACTATATTTTAGTATATAATCGTTCTTTTCGTTAATTAATGTAATGATAAAACAAACGTTACAAACAAATAATTTACAATGCTGGTTAATACAATTATTATAGTTACTGAATTGTGTTTTTAGATTCTGAGCATAGCGAGGAATGTATTGGATTCACTACAATACTGTTTGTGTTAGTATCTATATATAGTAGTCTACCAGACATTTTGTTCCAATCAAAAAACGACAGAACTTTTTTGTTGCGTGCTGAATCAGTTGGTGCATTCAAAAAGTCATCTTATTAATGATTTTTCTAGTAGTTTTCATAATAATTGGGAATAAAACAAAAACAAACAAACATACTTCGCACAGGTGGGCCACTGTTATAAGTAAGAAGTTAGGAAGGTAGAGAGGAAATTTAGTGTATATCTAATATTTAAGTTTGTATAATCAATTTTAATACAAATTGATTGTTTTTTTAATTAGTATTACGTGCGTATAATAATTAGTACCTATAATAACATACAACTAGCAGGTTGTTTTTTTTATCACTATTTTCAGTAAATAATTAACAATTATAATTCATTATCGGTTGTGTATGAGTTATGAATTTGTATAGAGTTCATATACCAATCCGCCAATTCGTTTACCGGTTAATGGCTCTAATAACTCGTAGTCTCTATTTAATGTAAAGTCTATACTGAAGGTTTTATCGAAAACGGTAGGTACCGTTTTTACCGGATTATTATAATCGGTACCTACGCATCGCAAGATTGAAAAATAGATGTTAAAAGAAAATACCCCGTTCCCCCACCCCTGAAATAAATATTAGTTTTTACATTTATACGTTACAGTAACTTATAAATACCGTTTTTACCGGATTATTTCAATCGGTACCTACGCATCACAAGATTGAAAAATGGATAGGTAACATTGCACCTTTATTTAGCATGTATACATTTTGGAAATTTGTTTTATTACTCCTCTGAAATTGTATCTATAGGCGCTCGTACTTAAAAGTTATTACCTATACAAATAATATTTTCTATAAAACTGCAGGTTTGTTGTTATAGATTTGTTGCTATTCTTAGTCTAGAAATCATTCGCTCCATTTGTATAAGCCTAGGATTGGATCGGTTCATCAAACCGGCCCGGGTTTAGAACTCATAACAGTTACTCTTAAAACAGATAAAAAAAAAAATTTATCAGATTAGATTGACCAACACTTAAACTTTAAATTCCTAGACCATTACTATGATGATAATGATATTTTATGACACCATTTTTATGTATCTGTATAAATGTATAATCATTGATTGTATAATACTTTAGGTGAATGTAGGTAAACTTAGAAAATGACAAAAAAAAATATATTTTCAATAAACTGAGCGTAAAACTGTTATGTCTTTGAAATCAAAATTATTAGATAGGTACAGAGTTCTCAGAATCGTGTTGTATAGGTAGTCAGATATGTATCTACAATTATAACGATATTAAGTTATTTACTTAATATTTTTATGAATCAGAACTCTAAAATTCTTTCTAATTTTAACATTAATTACAGGGTCAAGGACTACAAATATTTAAATTTCAATTCAATTTGCATATTTTGGTAAAAAAAAAACAACTTCAAGTTCAGAGAAAATAGAAATTATTTAACTCATGTCGACGATAAAGCAAATAAATAAATTTTAGTACAGGCTGACATACGGGCTGATATTAAATTATTATTTGGAACAATTTACATTTTTTTCGGTTGGTTATAATGAAATATTATTTTTTGTTTTTTCTTATAATTTTTAATAGAATTGATTTTGGCCCCATAATTTATTTAGCTATAGTCTAATCGTATATATTTCTAAAACGACTGTAAATAATTTTTTTTTACATTTTATCAAGTATCAATCTCTAAAACATTTTTTGGTTTGTTTTATAAGTATTCCGTTTTTCAGATAATATATATATATTATTTTATTATTTATAGGTGTGCTACTACTTCTAGATAACGACAGATTTTCTGTTTTTCATTCTTACAAAACTATTATAATTGTAGAAAAATAAATAATAAACTGGTTCGGCATTAAACATTCTAGTATATAAACTTCGGGGAGGCAATGATTACATTGGGATGTTGGGTAGACGGATAAGGGCGAAATCCCTCTTCTTATTTATCGTAAGATGATCAGTCCAATTTAGTTTAATTCTCCAAAGTCCGGGGGGACGCTTTAGTTGTTATTGTCATAACGACATTTTTAATGAAATTTTAAAAATTCGAATTAGTTTTTTATTAAGACCTAATTATTTAATACCTATTAGATTGTATATAATCACTCTGTTTTACTTTATTTTCGCTGAGGCACATGCTGCGTGGGATAATATTTGAGGAGGAGGGATACCGAATGCAGTTTATTTTTAAACCCTTTATTAGTGAAGAAAATATGTGAGTGAGAGAAAAACATTTTGGAAACATCTTGTTTCCACGATGGGTTTCTTGAACGTTTGGTTAGGTTTACTTAGTTCCCGGAAACGTTCCTTTGAAGTCTTTTCCACTTTAACCATTGATGGGGGGGGGGGGATAGGATCTAGAAATCAGACAAAGGTTTATTAATCCGGTGCTGACCGAACTTAA